TAGGTGCTCCATAATCGTTTGGTAAAGTTTGTTTCACAGATGGTGAAGGTTCACGAGAGCTTGATGAAGAACTCATTTATAAGCTTTAAAAATAAACGTTCATCCTTTATTCCTCACTATCGTCCGTAGCTAAGTTATAGTCATCTAATCTTATTATTGGGATTCCATTAGCACGCACCTGAATGGCAAAGCAACAATCCCTCATAAATCCAATAAGTGGCTTTGGTACATTTTCAGTTGCTAGTTCAATAGGTCCTTTAACAGACAATTTGTATGTTATTGGAGCAGTAGATGTTTGACCTTGCTGGAAGCAAAAGTCCACTTCTGTTGGAAAACCACATAAGAAATGTGTGTTGTCATAGCTATCCCATTTATGTTCCACACTACCATCATCCACCAATGACCTTCATAACATCTTCATTAAATCCAATCATATCATTGTTTGTATTGCAAGCGTTCGCAACCATTTCATAAAATACAGGTCCATATGATTTTTCAGGTTCTGCAGGCATATTTCATAAGCTCCCATGGAAAGCTGAAGATATTTAAACTTAGGGTTCTCAAAATTAACATAATAGTTGTCTTTCTTTCTAAATAGTGCCCAAATACTTTTAACATTATAGGCGTATAAGCTGCTGTAAATGTTGCACTTGAACTATCTGTATTCTTTGAGAATGAACCGTCCATAGGAATCCAATCCATAACTTTAACAGGAAAACATAAAGCCTCGTTTGTATAATGTTCTACAAGTTCTGTATAAATGTTAGGGTCTAAAGAGAAATGACTTTGGATGAATGAAACATTCATTAAAATCCATCTTTGTTCGAAATAGTTGCTGGGTTACAGTTGTAATAGTAACTGTTCCACTAGCTTCTACTGCCTTCGTTATCATAGTGAATGGTTCATTCCATGGAACAAAATTTATTTGTCGGTGGATTTGAATCTGAAGCAAATGCAACTTTAAGAGTTGGATTGAAAGCAATGATATCATTTACAGATATAGATGTGCATTGTAAGGCGTCGCTACTGAACTTTACTTTAAGCTGAATGTTTCCTGCAAAAGCTGGAATAAATCGAATAGCTTCTAATGGAAGGAATCTTCTAACAGGAATTCTTAAACGAAGCTTAAAATCAAATGATTTTCCTGCTGTAATTGGACCACTAACAATTTTGTCCTGTTCTGCATGTTCCCGAATGACTCCATACATCTTCATGTCGAGTCTTTGAGAAAACATCTACTTTCTTTATTTGTTCGGTAGTTTGTGAGTTTGAAGTTATATATGCTTCTTCTCTTGCGTTGTCTTGAGAATATACGATACGACCATTTGCAAGGATTTGATATCCAGCAACTGCATAGAAAGCGTCATCGAAACCAATCCAAAATCCTGGTGGGTTTGTTTTATTGGAACCTGAACCAATTTCTTTATCTACAATAAATTGACCTTCCATTTTATACGTAATGAATGTATTGTAAAGGTCCAACATATTTTCACCAGGAGGTGAGAGATTGAATGTTACCCATGTGTTATCTTTAGCAGTTCCAGGTTGTGATGGAATCTTTGCGTCAGAATATTTTCTATTAGTGTCACCAATTTGAACTGCATTGTCTATGATATCGAAATATGAGCGAATCTGATGAATATGCTCTGCTGGAGTAAATTCGTTTAACTGTTCGTTCTGCATGTATTTACTTCGGATAAAAATATCTATTTACTTCATTATTCTCACTCTTCTTCTTGGTATTCGTGTGGAAGTTGTTTCTTGACATTTTCAATGAACTGTACATTCTCTTTTGTCTCGACTTCTTTCACTGGCGGGTCAGGATTCTTTGACTCGGTTTGTTTTTCAATGAAATTCACGAACTTTGCAATAAGCTCTTGGTTCGTTATTGAAAGTACATCTGGCTTCTTTTCTTCTGGTTCTATTGACTTTTCAGTTTGAACAGAAGGTTTTATATGGGCTTCGTGGACTTCACCCTTGCCATGCACCTTAATGTTGTCGCTTTCTGCATTCGCTAATGGAACCTTTCTTTTTCTTACGTATATTTTACCATCTTTACTCTGACTTACGTAATAGAAAGGATGTTGATTCCTCTTGCGTCATTTAATATAATAGACTCTCGCTCTGATTTTGACAAGCTCATTTTACATCGGTTAAAGTTTAATTTTGTTTTTTATCTGCAGTCAAATGACTCAGACAAGCCCTACGGACAAGACCCAAGGGGTCATAGATGTTGAAGCATTGAAGAAAGAAATTCGTGAGCAAATTTTATCCGAACTGAAGGAACAAAAAACAAGAACAAAAGCCAGAGAGACCAAAGAGAAAACTTAGTGAAAAACAACTTGCTGCATTAGCTGCTGGAAGACAAAAGAACCCACGTTTGCTGGCGAAGAAAGCTAGAGAAGAAGCAAAAGCAAAGGAAGAACAAAAAGCTAAAAGAAGCTGAAGCAAAGAAAGAGTAAATGGTTTATTTTTATCCAAACTAATGTATAGACAAATACCTTTATCTGTTGCGTTCAGTAGTGAAAACCCTGACGTCAAAATAAGGGGAACAGAGTAACGTTTAAGTTTCCAACAGACTGGATTGTGAACATAAATGAAGAGAAGTACATTGGCATAACATCTATGTATATAACACGTGCTTTCAGAAAGGTTGACTTTATACTTCAAGTCGAGATAGAAAATGACGAACAGTCTTTAAGCGCCCAAAACATTCACATATACAAATACTTTAAAGACGATACAACATTGTTGCAATGTATGATTTCATTTAATGAGATGTTCGAGAAAAAAGTTCAATATTGAAGTACAAACTTTACAGCCTTTACGTGAGTTTCTTGCACAACTGAAAGAAGAAGGTAGTCAGCCACAACTTATAGACTTTCATTATGAATTTAATGAAAATGAAGATGGAACTCATGACTGTCAATTCATTGTATTCTCACCATTCAATGAAGTCGCTAAAAAGAAAGAAAATCCATTACGTATAAGGTTTCAAATCCCGAACCAAGTGATGATTTTAAGAATGTTTTCAATTATGATGCAATGCTTCCGAGGAAAAATGAATTTTCAAAGATTGTAACACCTGGCATTTGGGATAGAAAGCAAGCTATATTATATTCAAACTTAAGTAAGGGAGTTGAAAATGAGTTCATTGGTCATACAAGAACTTCACCACTTCCTAACCCTAAATACTATAAATTAACTGGCTTCAATCGTGAGTTTTGGATAGACATGTTCTCCACTCATGACCATAAGTGCCCAGTGTTCTTACCTCCAGATGGAAAGATTGTTTATACATTGAAGCACAATTGTTAAACTCTACAATAGCTGTATTGTAAATGACCACATAGGCTCGCCCATGCCGCTAGCGGCTTATTTTTATCACAAATGAACCTCATTGCTGACAAAAATAAATGACCTCAGAACTTCAACTTACGAATAAAGCTTGTTTTAGTCGTTATTAAAAGTTGAACTTTTCAGCAAAGCAAGGTTGACATGACTTACATAAGTCGAATGCAATCTCTTGACCATCATAAAGTGCTTTGTAAAGTTTCATTAAACTGAACTCAGAGTCTTTGTCATATGTTCCAACAGGTATGTGAATGTTCTTATCTTCATTGTAATAGCATTGTATAGCTTCAGGAAACATTTCATTAGCGGTTAAAGCAATAACATCTTGCTTCACGCCTTTCATTCTGCAGTGAAATGCAACTTCATTTAAATCATTCGTGAGTAAGTCTATGTAGGTCTTCTTTCCACAGAAAATACTTTTATAAGCTAAACTTTGTTTTCCAGGTGTTATTTCTGCAAAGTCGCTATGAAATTGACCAAGGTTCTTTCCTATAAGTTCTCTACCGTATCTCTTCTTAAACTCTGCTGCAAGCTTTGGGATGTCTTCATTATATAAGTGCATACTGTCGGTATCCTGGTAAAATATTTGAAGACCCATGTCCTCTGCAGTACAGAATACTTCATTCATAATACGTTTTGACATAGACAGAATATTAACACCAAGTGGACAGAAGTTAAAGTGTCTGCAAATGCTTTTCGTTAGCTTGAAAATAGTTTTATCTGAACCATCCAAACCTTCGAACTTCACTATATGGTTGTAATTTCTTATAGCATATCTTATAGCATCTTTGTCATCTACTATGGTTATTTTTGACTCAATAGGAGATAGAATAGTTTTGCCATAAATGCTGTTCAGAATGAGTTTTATAATTTCTTGTAAGGGGTTTTCTTCTTTCTTATACTTTAACCTTAACTCAAACAACTTCTTTACTTCATCTCTTATTCTCATATCTCTGTTTCCATCGTAATAGTATCCTTGCAACACTTCACATTTGACACCTTGATATTTTATGAGGTCTTGTAATGTTATATGGTCAACATACATGAGACAGCAAGTGTTTGAACTTCTTGGAACGTTAAGTTCTGGATTTAGTTCAGGGTCGCAAACTATTAAATGAAAGTGTCTGGGTATACCAATCTCTGTTATCTTAATGAGAACAAAGAAGCCAGACATAAACTTTTCACCAATGGGTTCCTTTTGGTCATCATCGAATAAATGTCTCATGAGATACTCTGTGTTTAACATTTCTTCCTTCAATACTTTTGGAATACCTTCTAAAGTATAAAGTCTTGCTATAGCTGAAGGATATAATGAAACAGTGTCGAAGTCAGCAATGAGTTTCTTTTTGCTCTTTTGTTTCATGTTATCTGACAACATACATCTTCCACCTTGAATGCATCTCGAAATAAATTCTCTTGGTTTATTTGAGAGGTCATAAAGATTTCCATTCGGGAAGTATACTCTGTTCTCAAACAATTTGTTAGCAATTGAACAAATACTAACGTAGTCATAAACGTTTAAATCAAACTCTTTCAATAAGTCATTGCGGAACTTTACAAAACCTTCTCTTAAAATTCTTACATCTTGTTTGCAGTAAAACGTGCTATATTTTTCTAAGTCGAAGTGGTTTCATCTATTCTGCAACCTTTGATGGAATCTATGTTTTTCATAAATGTATCTGCATCCCGGATAAACTTACATGCTTCAGAAATGACACCAGTTCTGTTGTCATTTGCTAACAAAACACTGCTGTAGTAGTTATATGGAAATACTTCTTTCGGTCCTGTTTGTAAGTTAAACATAGCAGGAAATAGTTTAAGCTTCTTATTTATAACACTGTAAGAGTCTTTTATAATAATTGCCCGTCCTTTATATAAACCAGTTATTTGCATTGTTCGTGAACCTTTAATGATGGGAGTTCCTTTCACTTCTGTCATGTGTCTTAAGATGAAGTTTATGTCATAACTGAGGTTGTGAAAATATATTAAACTCTTGTCAGGGAGTCTTTCCAAAAATTCTGTTGCACAGTTTTGACCCCAAATGCTTTCACTCACTGAACCATCTTCACTGTCATAACAGATGTTAAAAGCTTTATGAAAGCCATCCGTACTACACTCAAAGTCAGCAAAGAAAACGTGCTCAGGAATGAATTTACATTTAGCTTTATTTACTTCTTTTGACTCTGCTTTCTTCTTCAGTTGTACACAATACTTTGGAGCATATGTCAAATCTTTAAATGGTGCAAGGTTCTGTTTATATAAGTCAGTAGTATATGTGAAAAGTTCTCCATAAGAAATAGGTTCGAAATATTTGCACTCCCACAATGTTTTCATAACATCCCATAACGGTGTTGTTCTATCATAACGAACTACATATTTATCTTCTCTCTTTGTATAAATCTTCATCTGTTTCTCAATGTTCATTCCACCACAAGCTTTGAGAATTTCTTTATAGTTTCGAATGAAGTATGTTGTCATTGGAAGTCTTTCATTTAGCATGTAGTGGTCTTCAACAAGAAGTAAGTCAATAGTTCTAACAGTTTCGCATTCTTTTGGTATATATCTCTTTATTTCATTATGTCTTGAGTCATTGAAATAACCAATGGTAACATTAAATGCTATACCTGTTGCGTCAGAAATTTCTTGTACTTTACTTTGAGGAAAGTCTCTAACACGAATGACTTCTCTCATGTGGTCAATAGTTTCTTCATTTACTCCAGCCTGAATGCAAGCATAAACGAAACAATTGTCCTCTGTCATAAGTGTTGCAGTTCTTTTGTTCAGTTCATTGAAGATTTGGTAGCGTTCAAGATTTATAGGTAATGTGCAAAGATACTTCCATAACTGACCGCTTCTCTTCTTATAAAACTTCTTTTCACCATTATCTTTCCAAAAGCTTTCTATAAGTGCTGGGTTTCCTGTTTGCTTAAGAGCTTCCAAAATGGCTTTCTGGTCATTTGTCAGTGTGCTTTCATCTCTATATGGTCTCTTTTTTGGTTTGCCTTTCTTTACATCTGACATCGTTAAGCCTTCATATTCTGTTAAATCATACATCTTTATTTCAGTAAGATTCTTTATGTTTGTCAAGAAGAAGTCATAGTGCATTTCAACAATACCTGCAGCATTTGCTTCTATCTCTGATATAAAGTTCTCCTTCAAGAGCTGATGTAGTAATGTTCCAATATTATTGAGGTTTAACGTAGAACATTCATACTTTCCACCAAGTTTATAACATACCATCCATCTTTGTTGCGAGTTTATTTTAATTTTCTCTAAGAGTCTCATGAAAACCTTACCGAAATGTTTGTGTAAATATTCTGTTTGGTTCATCTAAAGCTTCGATGTTAAAGTCAATGAGTCTATTGCCTGACTTCACATTTCTCTTCCTATTCTCTTCATCTTTCTTTAACCATCTCTCACCTTCTTTTGGTTTGTCGTCAATGGAACGAATGACATCGTTAGCTTTGCGAACTTGTTCTATAGCACTTTTAAACATCTCTCTTCTCTGTTGTTTCAGTGTGTCGTCTCTTCTTCTTGTTTCACCAACGTTTGCATTTGTTATGTCAAACATTTCTTGACGAACATCATGCGAAAGAGCTTTACGAGTATGACCAACGTTCGCATTTGTTATGTCAAACATTTCTCTTCTTACTTCATGAGGTACTGAACGTCTATGATATAAGTCAATAGCAATGTCATTTAAAGGAAATGCTCTTGCATGGACTTCGTCCTCGCCGCGTTGCGGCTTTATGAACTCATGAATTCTATCATAACTTATTGCACCATTGTAGTCTTTAATGAAGTCAGCGAGTGCTTTTTTGTTTGTCGCGTAATGTTTTGCAACATCTATATTAGCTTCTGTAAGAAGTTGTTTTATTTCCGAGTGTTCTAACTTAGACAACTTCCGATACATCTTTAGTAGGAAATAAAAAAATATTTTTTTGAAAAAATTAGATTACATTTTTAAGTTATTTTTCAAAATAATTTAATATTTTTATTTTAATGAAACACATGCAAGATTGCAAGTTCTTTTCATACAATGCTCTCGCTACTGCCATCAAGAATGAGTTCAATGGTTCTGCAAACGTTAATGTTATCTTTAACAAGAAGTTTGTGAAAGAATCTAAGTTCGGTCAGTATGTCAGACCATTAGCTATTGTCATTGACCGCAAACGTTATACTTCACAAGAGTTAGCAGTAGTTTTGAAACAAAAGGGTTTCTTCGTGAATGTCAAAGATACTCATTATACTGTTATAAAGAACTCCAACATTGACTTCTTCAGTATTGCTATGAATCTTTCCGAACAGAAAGAATATAAGAAGGGTGAAACATCTGTGAAATATTATCCTTCATCTCTGAAGACAATAACGAACAAAGATGTTATACAAAAGTTCTTACCAAAGGTTGAAGAAGCTTCTATTGACATTGACGAAGGAAGTGAAATGGTTGAAGAAATTGACCCTGAAGCTATTTAACCAAAAATATATTTTTGGTGAAGAGGTGAGATTTCACCTGTTTTTTCACCTCATTCTCTCTTCGTTAATGTTGTCGTGACTTCTTCGTTAATGTTGTCGTGACTTCATTCTTCCTCTTTGAAGTTATCGAAATATTCTGTTATTTTTTCCTTCAGTAATGGTAAGTCTTCTTTGAAGGTAAGTATTGTGCAACCTTTGATGTCATAGTGTGTTTGAGGAAGAGTATTTTTGACAATTTCTTTTATTTGCTCATTCGGTGTCATTGAAATCGGTAAGTTTTCACGATAGAACCAGTTTCTGTCAGATTTATATATTTTAGCAAGGTCGTAAAAGCTTTTGTTGTTTCTTCTGACTAAATGCAACATAACCATATCTCTGTCTTCTTCATTCTCCAACTCTTCAGTATAAATCATATACTTATAGTTCTTTTCCTTTCCTTTTGGTACTGAACGCGGTATTCTTTTCTGTATGCTTTTGTCTTTGGATTCAATGACTTCATCTTTTGCTTGAAGTTTCTTTTCCATCTCTCCACGTTCTTGTCTGTGAAGTTCGTCAAGAAGTTTGTAAATATTCCAAGCATAACGTGGTGAAGCCCACATTGCAACTGCATTTACTAAAAGTCTATGAACATAATATCCTCTCAAACCGTTTGGCAATTTTTCACGGTTTTCATAGAGTTTTGGCGACTGGGATTTTTTACCTACTCGCTGTTCTTCACTGTTTTCAGAAAAAAGTACGTCTCGCTGTGCTTCACTTAATAGTTCTATGGTGCTTTGGTTCCTAAACCAGTCTTTAGGAAGCTTAGTATCTGGAGCAAAACAAGCCGTCAAAATACTTTGCATTTGGTACATGTCGTCTTTGACAGAACGAATGAGTCTCAATTGTTTGTTATACTGTATGTATTCGTATTCTTCATTTATGACTTCATGAACGATAGCAGTTGTTGTGTTCTCTGATGTTGACATATCTGTCTTTACATACAGGATAAAAAATAAATAAAATAAAAACTAACTTTATTTTTTTGAGATAAACACTATTTCTTCACAACATTAAATTTTATCCTGTATGAAATGACTTTAAAAAGATTATTGACTGACTTCGAATACTATCTCATTGACGCACTGACAGACCCTCAAAACTGTGTTGAAAGTTCTTTAAGCTTTAAGATTGAAGGTACGACGCATTTTGTCTTCACTTACGTATTGAAAGAATATGACCGTTATCATAACGAAGTGAATCAAACACTAATAAAATTTGTAGATAAAAAATTGGTTAACAATGAATATTTTAAACGTGAAGACCCAAACACTGCTGGAGATGATGAAGAATACAGACAAGTTATTGAAAAAAATAACGCAAGATTAGATGCAATAGAAAAGAAGTTTAATGAATGTCTTACAAACACGTATGAATATCTTATGCAGTGGGAAGCCAGATGGAAATAAATTTACGTCAAATATGCAATTTATAAAATCTTATGTCGACAGGCTACGTAGCACAGTGGTCTAAGGTGGTGTTATGGAGGGGTCAGGGTCTGTGGTTCGAACCGCGACAGCGCCGTATTTTCTTATTTTCTTTATTTGTCTTGTTTGTCGTGAATAAAAAGTGTCATAAAAGTGCTCTATCTTCCACGGGAATAAATAAAAAATTTACTTTATTTCTTCTTTATTTCTTTGTTCCCGTGGAAGAAGGGTTTTTGCCGTTTTTTTCAGCCGAAATCAACGATTTTTTCATTTTTGGAATCCTTAGCAAATGAGGAATCTTTTCTCTCGTGGAAGCTTTGACCAAAAATATAATTTAGGTGAAGAGGTGAGATTTCACCTCTTTTTTCACCTAATTTTTCACCTCAGCCGCTAAGCAGACTTCTTGACTTTGTCATAACTTCTTCGTAAATGCTTTGTCATAACTTCTTCGTAAATGCTTTGTCATAACTTCTTCGTAAATGCTTTGTCATAACTTCTTCGTAAATGCTTTGTCATGACTTCTTCGTAAATGAGTGTAAATGACCAAAAATATAATTTAGGTGAAGAGGTGAGATTTCACCTCTTTTTTTCACCTAATTTTTCACCTCTTTTTTTCACAAGCGTTTTACATGAATTGTACGATGTATATTTGAAATCCTAAACAGTTTTGTAGCTTCTATTTCTTCGCTGAGGATATCAAAAGTTTTAACAATGCCGAAAGTCTCTTTATATTTCTTCTTGACGTCAGATAGAAGGAAATCTTTTACTGTTGGATAGTTTTTGTTCAGAAATGCTAACATGTCCATTTTATCTTCTGCTGGCTTTTCTGCTTCTTTCTTTAAGTCTGCATAGTCGTTTCGCATTCTTTCTATCTCTTTGACGGAGTAGTTATATTTCCTTATTGCTGCTTTACATTTTGAACATTGTGGGTTCATTTTTGCATTATACATTGAAATTTGACCTGCTAGAACAACTAAAGCGTCAATTGCTCTCTTCATCTCAAACATAGCGGGTCTTAGTTGTTCGTTCCATACTTTGCCTCTTCTATCTTTATCTCTTATTTCCCAAACACATTTTGCAACTAATGAAACAAAGTTGTCGTAGGTCTTAAATTCTTCAGATTTATATGTCAGAAACATTCTTATATACCATATCGCAATCTTTGTCCATAACTTTATGGTTGCAATGAAAACCAAGGAATTCATAATTTACTTTACGTATGAACTTCTTTATTTCTACTGAGTCAGTTGCTTTGACTTCAATTTCGTCGAATTCAGGAATAGTTAGTTTTTTGATGCTGAATTTCAGGTAGTTTAGGTAAATGGTCGATGAGGTCCTCCATTTCATAAAGATACTGTTCATTTGTTTCATCTTTCGCACTACAGTCTAAATTACTTGTTAAAAGTTCCTGCTTAATTCTCTTGACATCATAAAGTGCTTTGTAAAGTTTCATTAAACTGAACTCAGAGTCTTTGTCATATGTTCAAACAGGTATGTGAATGTTCTTATCTTCATTGTAATAGCATGTATAGCCTTCAGGAAACATTTCATTAGCGGTTAAAGCAATAACATCTTGCTTCACGCCTTTCATTCTGCAGTGAAATGCAACTTCATTTAAATCATTCGTGAGTAAGTCTATGAGGTCTTTCTTTCCACAGAAATACTTTTATAAGCTAAACTTTGTTTTCCAGGTGTTATTTCTGCAAAGTCGCTATGAAATTGACCAAGGTTTCTTTCCTATAGTTCATCTTACCATATCTCTTCTTAAAACTCTGCTGCAAGCTTTGGGATCTTCATTATATAAGTGCATACTGTCGGTATCCTGGTAAATATTTGAATCCCATGTCCTCTGCAGTACAGAATATCATTCATAATACGTTTTGACATAGACAGAATATTAACACCAAGTGGACAGAGTTAAAGTGTCGCAAATGCTTTTCGTTAGCTTGAAAATGTTTTATCTGAACCATCCAAACCTTCGAAACTTCACTATATGGTTGTAATTTCTTATAGCATATCTTATAGCATCTTTGTCATCTACTATGGTTATTTTTGATCAATAGAGAGATAGAATATTTTGCCATAAATGCTGTTCAGAATGAGTTTATAATTTCTTGTAAGGGGTTCTTCTTTCTTATACTTTAACCTAACTCAAACACACTTCTTTACTTCATCTCTTATTCTCAATCTCTGTTCCATCGTAATAGTATCCTGCAACACTTCACATTTGACACCTTGATATTTTATGAAGTCTTGTAATGTTATATGGTCAAACATACATGAGACAGCAAGTGTTGAACTTCTTGAACGTTAAGTTCTGGATTTAGTTCAGGGTCGCAAACTATTAAATGAAAGGTGTCTGGTTATACCAATCTCTGTTATCTTAATGAAACAAAGAAGCCAGACATAAACTTTTCACCAAGGGTTCCTTTTGGTCGTCATCGAAAAATGTCTCATGAGATACTCTGTGTTTAACATTCTTCCTTCAATCTTTTGGAATACCTTCTAAAGTATAAAGTCTGCTATAGCTGAAGGATATAATAAACAGTTCGAAGTCAGCAATGAGTTTCTTTTTGCTCTTTTGTTTCATGTTATCTGACAACATACATCTTCCACCTTGAATGCATCTCGAAATAAATTCTCTTGTTTATTTGAGAGGTCATAAAGATTTCCATTCGGGAAGTATACTCTGTTCTCAAACAATTTGTTAGCAATAGAACAAATACTAACGTAGTCATAAACGTTTAATCAAACTCTTTCAATAAGTCATTGCGGAACTTTACAAAACCTTCTCTTAAAATTCTTACATCTTTTTGCAGTAAAACGTGCTATATTTTTCTAAGTCGAAGTGGTTTTCATCTATTCTGCAACCTTTGATGGAATCTATGTTCTTCATAAATGTATCTGCATCATGGATAAACTTACATGCTTCAGAAAATGACACCAGTTCTGTTGTCATTTCTAACAAAACATGCTGTAATAGTTATATGGAAATACTCTTTCGGTCCTGTTTGTAAGTTAAACATAGCAGAAATGTTTAAGCTCTTATTTATAACACTGTAAGAGTGTTATAATAATTGCCCGTCCTTTATAATAACCAGTTATTTGCATTGTTCGTGAACCTTTAATGATGGGATTCCTTTCACTTCTGTCATGTGTCTTAAGATGAAGTTTATGTCATAACTGAGGTTGTGAAAAATATATTAAACTCTTGTCAGGGAGTCTTTCCAAAAATTCTGTTGCACAGTTTTGACCCCAAATACTTTCACTAACTGAACCATCTTCACTGTCATAACAGATGTTAAAAGCTTTATGAAAGCCATCCGTACTACACTCAAAGTCAGCAAAGAAAAACGTGCTCAGGTATGAATTTACATTTAGCTTTATTTACTTTTTTGACTCTGCTTTCTTCTTCAGTTGTACACAATACTTTGGAGCATATGTCAAATCTTTAAATGGTGCAAGGTTCGTTTATATAAGTCAGTAGTATATGTGAAAAGTTCTCCATAAGAAATAGGTTCGAAATATTTGCACTCCCACAATGTTTCATAACATCCCATAACGGTTGTTCTATCATAACGAACTACATATTTATACTTCTCTCTTTGTATAAATCTTCATCTGTTTCTCAATGTTCATTCCACCACAAGCTTTGAGAATTTCTTTATAGTTTCGAATGAAATATGTTGTCATTGGAAAGTCTTTCATTTAGCATGTATGTCTTCAACAAGAAGTAAGTCAATAGTTCTAACAGTTTCGCATTCTTTGGTATATATCTCTTTATTTCATTATGTCTTGATCATTGAATAACCAATGGTAACATTGAATGCATATACCAGTTGCGTCAGAATTTCTTTACTTTACTTGAGGAAAGTCTCTAACACGAATGACTTCTCTCATGTGTCATAGTTTCTTCATTTACTCCAGCCTGCAATACAGCATAAACGAAACAATTGTCCTCTGTCATAAGTGTTGCATTCTTTTGTTCAAGTTCATTGAAGATTTGGTAGCGTTCAAGATTTATAGTAATATGCAAAGATACTTCCATAACTGACCGCTTCTCTTCTTATAAAACTTCTTTCACCATTATCTTTCCAAAAGCTTTCTATAAGTGCTGGGTTTCCTGTTTGCTAAGAGCTTCCAAAATGGCTTTCTGTCATTTGTCAGTGTGCTTTCATCTCTATATGGTCTCCTTTTTTGGTTTGCCTTTCTTTACATCTGACATCTTTAACCTTCATATATTCTGTTAAATCATAATCTTTATTTCGTAAGATTCTTAGTTTGTCAAGAAAAGTCATAGTGCATTTCAACAATACCTGCAGCATTTGCTTCTATCTCTGATATAAAGTTCTCCTTCAAGAGCTATGTAGTAATGTTCCAATATTATTGAGGTTTAACGTAGAACATTCATACTTTCCACCAAGTTTATAACATCCATCATCCATCTTGTTGCAGTTTATTTTTAATTTTCTCTAAGAGTCTCATGAAACCTTACCGAAATGTTTGGTAAATATTCTCGTTTGGTTCATCTAAAGCTTCGATGATTAAAGTCAATGAGTCTATTGCCTGACTTCACATTTCTCTCCTATTCTCTTCATCTTTCTTTACACATCTCTCCCTTCTTTTGGTTTGTCGTCAATGAGAACAGAATGACATCGTAGCTTTGCGAACTTTTCTATAGCACTTTTAAACATCTCTCTTCTCTGTTGTTTCAGTGTTCGTCTCTCTTCTTGTTTCACCAACGTTTGCATTGTTAGTCAAACATTCTTGACGAAACATCATGCGAAAAGAGCTTTACGAGTATGACCAACGTTCGCATTTGTTATGTCAAACATTTCTCTTCTTACTTCATGAGGTCTGAACGTCTATGATATAAGTCAATAGCAATGTCATTTAAAGGAAATGCTCTTGCATGGACTTCGCCTCGCCGCGTTGCGCTTTATGAACTCATGAATTCTATCATAACTTATTGACCATTGTAGTCTTTAATGAAGTCAGCGAGTTGCTTTTGTTTGTCGCGTAATGTTTTTGCAACATCTATTAGCTTCTGTAAAAGTTTTTTATTTCCGAGTGTTCTAACTTAGACAACTTCCGATACATCTTTAGTAGGAAATAAAAAAATATTTTTGAAAAAATATGATATACTTTTTTAAGTATTTTCAAAATAATTTAATATTTTTATTTTAATGAAACAACTGCAAGATTGCAAGTTCTTTTCATACAATGCTCTCGCTACTGCCATCAAGAATAGTTCAATGGTTCTGCAAACGTTAATGTTATCTTTAACAAGAAGTTTGTGAAGAATCTAAGTTCGGTCAGTATGTCAGACCATTATATTGTCATTGACCGCAAACGTATATTCTCACAAGAGTTAGCAGTAGTTTGAAACAAAAGGGTTTCTTCGTGAATGTCAAAGATACTCATTATACTGTGATAAAGAACTCCAACATTGACTTCTTCAGTATTGCTATGAATCTTCCGAACAGAAGAAATAATAAGAAGGTGAAACATCTGGAAATATTATCTTCAATCTCTGAAGACAATAACGAACAAAAGATGTTATACAAAAAGTTTCTTACCAAAGGTTGAAGAAGCTTCATGCATTGCTATATGACATGTACGAAGGAATGTGAAATGGTTGAAGAAATTGACCCTGAGCATATTTAACCAAATATATTTTTGGTGAAGAGGTGAGATTCACCTGTTTTTCACCTCATTCTCTCTTCGTTAATGTTGTCGTGACTCTTCGTTAATGTTGTCGTGACTTCATTCTTCCTCTTTGAAGTTATCGAAATATTCTGTTATTTTTTCCTTCAGTAATGGTAAAGTTATATGAATGGTAAGTATCAGGCAACCCTTTGATGTCTTAGTGTTTGAAGAAGAGTATTTTTGACAATTTCTTTTATTTGCTCATTCGGTGTCATTGAAATCGGTAAGTTTTCACGATAAGAACCAGTTTCTGTCAGATTTATATATTTTAGCAAGGTCGTAAAAGTTT